TCTTGGGATCAGGGGCAGCTGCCAACTTCCCTGCCGATGGCCAGCTCCTCAGCCGACATACACGGGTGTGTCCTCCATGAAAACAACGAGGCTTTGCCTATACACACCACTTAGCCCCATGTGACAGGGTAAGCCTGGGTCAGAAACGTGCAAACCCAGCAGTTCTGAAGGCGCTTTGGTACAAACGCAGGTGCTGTCCGCGTGGGAGTGAAGTTCACAGCTTTGCTGTCCTCAGGGGAGGGGAGAGAATCGTGTTGCCAATTCTCAGGATTGTCTCGAGGGTCTCACGATATTTGGGATTTTCTTCAACGCTCCAGCTCCTGGTGTCCTCAGAATACAGGAGGATCTCAGGAGACTTTCGTCGAAGGGGAAGTTCTAGCTCTCGGGTGCGGAGAAGAGCTTGAAAACACGACCCCTCCAGGGGCAAAGAAACCCAAAGGGCAGATAAAACAACCCCCCAACCCGAGTCTGGAATGCTGCGGCTTTCCCCCCCGGCATGGCTTTGTACGGGGAGCGTAGGCCCTTCAGGGCAGGGGGCATCGCCCGCTCGGTGTCGGGGCAGCGCCGGCACGGCGAGTGCCCCCATCTCAGTGGGGCCCCTGGGGGCTCCCACAACACACACAGTGAGCAGCAGTTAGCACTTGGAGGGGGGCTATCCAGCACTGCCTGGGAAGGGGGGCATGGGGACCAAGCCCCTCCCCCACTCTGTCTGTCACTTTGGGAGCCTGCCCCCCTCACTCCCCTGTGGGCACAGCAGGGAAGGAGCCTTCCCCTTCCCCGACCCCGACCCCGGCCCCTCAGGCTATATTTGCTGTGTATAGCCCTTTAAGGCCTACGCCATTTTGGGCGCGGAAGAGCGAGGGGGGGGACGCATGCGCACTGAGCGGCCGCGGGATCCGAACGCGCTCTCCCGTGCCGCTGCAGGTCCTCCTACGCACGCGCAGTAGAATCTGCGGGGAGTCGCCTGCCTCTGCTGCGCATGCGTATGTGCCGCTGCTCGGGAGTTGGCGCGCCTGGGCTAGGCCCGCGCACGCGCAGTTGCGCGGGCGAAGCCCTCCGTCCCTCCCCCCCCGCTCCGTCAGGCGCCGGAAGTGAGTCAGCGCGAGGGCGGAAGCGGGCGTGCGGCGGCGGCGGCGGCGGCTGGAGGGTTCCAGAAGAGCCTGGCCGGCGCGGCCCGGGCGGCACCATGGTGGATTACAGCGTCTGGGACCACATCGAGGTGTCCGACGATGAGGACGAGACTCACCCCAACATCGACACGGCCAGTCTCTTCCGGTGGCGCCACCAGGTGCGGCCCCCGTTCCCATGGAGACCGCCCCCCCCGCCCCTGAGGGGGCCCCCCGTTCCCCTGGAGACCGGGCCCCCCGCCCCTGGGGGGCCCCCCGTTCCCCTGGAGACCGCCCCCCGGCCCCCTGGGGGCCCCCGTTCCCCTAGAGACCGCCCCCCCCGTTCCCATGGAGACCCGGCCTCGGGACCCCCCTTTGCACCCCCGGGAGGCCTGGCCCAAGGGGTCTCTGGCCAGGGGACCCCCCCCGGCGCTGCCCCAGGAGCGCCCCTGGCTCCAGCGGTGCCCTGGCCGTGCGGCGGCCAGGCCCGTGTGGGGTTCAGCACCCGTGCACTGGGGCCCGACGCCAAGAATCCCCCGCCTACCCCAGGAACACTGTGCTCCCCACCCGGGGTCTTCACCTTGGGCACCCTGCCCCAAGGACCTGCCCCCCTCAGTCAGGATCCCTCCAGCCGCACAGGGCTCAGCCCATTGCAGAGACCAGCCTCCTCCGGGCATTGTTGAGAGAGGAGAGGACTGACATATTCCCCCCCCCTGCGCCCCTTCTCAATATCCCCCCCCGCGCCCCTTCTCAATATCCCCTGGATTGACTCCGACCCCAATTGGTGGGACTCCTCAGGCCTGAGACCCCTTGAACACACCCCATTTCAGCCAAATCAGCCCCACCCTTAGTGGTGTCTCCCTCCTGTCAGCTCCCCAGAGAGAGGGAATTCCCCAGCTTCAAGGTAGATCTTCCCTGAGGCGAGACACTCCTACAAAAAAAGAGGGCGTTCTTTAAGGGGAGATCCCTTCCTTCCCAGGAGAGAGCCTCCTGGAAACCCATCTCCTCGGGTGCTCCGAGACTTGTCTTCTTCTTAACCAGGCACCCTACATAATAATAATGAGTACATCTAGGGTACTTTGATATGGTGACTTCAACATCTGGAAAGATACTGGAACAAATGATTACACAATCCGTGTGTAAACACCTGGAGGATACCTGGGTTAGAAGGAATAGCCAACATGGCTTTGTCAAGAACAAATCCTGCCAAACCACCCTCATTTCCTTTTTTGATGGAGTTACTGGCTTAGTCGATAGGGGGAAGCAGTAGATGTGATATAGTGAACTTTTAGTAAGGCTTTTGACACAGTCAGACGTAAACTAGGGAAATGGGCTCTGGATGAAATTACCATAAGTTGGTACACAGCTGGTTGGAAAAAGCACTCAAAGAGTAGTTGTTAATGGTTTGCTGTCATCGGGGGGGGGGGGGAATATCTGGGCGGGTCCCACAGGGGTCCTGAATCTAATATTGTTCAATAATTTCATTAATGACTTGAATAAGGGAGTGTAGAGTGTGCTTATTAAATTTGTGTAGGACATCAGGCAGAGAGGGATTGCAAGCACTTTGGATGATAGAATTAGAATTCAAAATAATCTTGACACTTTAGAGAATCGATCTGTAATCAACAAGATGAAATTAAATAAAGACAAGTGCCAGGTAATGCACAGTTACAAAATAGAGACTAACCGGCTAGGTGGTGGTAGCTGAAAAAGGATCGGGGCATTATAGTGGATCACAAATTGAATATGAGCCAACAATGTGATGCAGTTGCCGAAAGGGCTGATATCAGTCTGAGGTGTAGTAGCAGGAGTGTTGTATGTAAGACATGGGAGGGAACTGTCCTGCTCTACTCGGCATTGGTGGGGTCTCAGCTGGAGTACTTTAGGAAAGATGTGAATAAATTGGAGAGGGTCCAGAGGAGAAAAGATTACAAACCCTGCGCACGTTTAGTCTTGAGGAAAGAAGACTCAGGGGGACCTGATAATAGTCTTCAAATCTGTTAAGGGCTGATGAAGAGGATGGTGATTCAATGTTCTCCACGCCCACTAAAAGTAGACCAATAAGTAATGGACTTAATCTGCAGCCAGGGAGTCTTAGTTTAAATATTAGGAAAAACGTTCTACCTCTAAGTGTAGTTAAGCTCTCGAATAGGCTTCCCAAGGGAGTTTGTGGATTCCTCGCCATTGGAGGGTTTTAAGAACAGATGGACAAACACCTGTCAGGGATGATCTAGGTTTACTTGGTCTTGCCTCAGCACGGGGGCTGGACTTGGTGATCCCTTCCAGCCTGATGTTTGTATGATTTTTTTTATCAAGAGATCTCTGTGATCCTGCAGCGGAGGGCTGATTTATATCCCCTTAGTACAGAAAGAGAAACTGAGGCACAGAGCAGGGAAGGGAATCGCCTGCGATGGTGCAGCAAGGCAGTAGTAGTGTCTGGACTAGAACTCCGGAGTCATGACTGCGAGTCCAAGAGGAAACCCTGGGGCTTACTGTCTCCATGTGCTCTCTTGTGAAATCACAGGAAGCTGTCTGGGCAGAAATCCATTCCTCAGTCTCCCAGTAACTTTCTCCACCACAGTCACTCTGGACTTGGGAGCCAACAGAAAGGAAAACCAATGTCATGGCCTTAACTGACTCTGATACCAGTAACGCCAGTGCGTGGGTGCTTTAGGAGCTGTGGTGGACACTAGCCAGCAGACTAAAGCTTCAGACAGGCAGGTGTGGTAAGGCATGTGCTAAGTCCCCATGTATTTGTAACTGGTTCCAGTTTAACAGATGAGGCATTGAGTCAGCCTTACCTGCCTTCCCTGGGGAATAAATGAGCTCTGGCTGTAGTGTGTGAATGCAAAGGCTTAGTTTCTGGTCCGTCACCTGGTCCATCACCATTTATTGGGGCTGGGAACCCACCCTGTTGGCTCAGGGAGTTCTGATCTTGTTTGAGTGGCAAACCCTGGGGAAAATACAGTTTTATTCTGGATAAGATGGGGGCTTTTCACCTCTGCTACATATGTGGTATAGATACGAAGATAAATCGGTCTCTCAAAGGTCCTAGAATGCAGGCAGTACACTTTGCCTTTTGTTCTTCCCTTGGGAATTCCAGGGATCAGAGCAGGGAGTGCGATGCTGAGGTCCAATAATGATTCTGCAACTCACTCGTGCTGAGCAACTCATTTCACTCCCCTCCCTCAGTTTCCCTATCTGTAAAATGGGGATAATACCTGTTAGAGGGAGCTGCGACTTGGGGAGCTGAAGTTTTGGTGGCTAATTGAGGAGTGTTTTGGTAATCTAAAGCACTACATAAGTACTAAGTACTGGGAGACAATGGAGAAATAAAACGTGATCTTGTTAAAACCCTCCTTCCCTGAGTGTTGTGCATCCCTACTTTAAGAGCGCATGTTCAGTGTGAGTAACTGTCTCAGCTCGGGTGTTCTCCCTCCAGACTAGCATGTTATGCACAGGAAGGAAGGAAGGATCTCTGCTCCGTGTGGAGAAATAGATTTTTCTCCACATGGAGAAGAAAATGGGAATTCAGCTTTTGTTTTCCAGGCTCAGAGGAGGAAGAAATTGTTCTCCCAACAGCCACAACAAGAGCCATGTCCAATCAACAGGAAACAAAATCCTACGGATCTTAGAACCCTCTTGAAAACATTGGCCTGGAAGGGAAACCCCCGACTGTGAAACACAGCAAACGTGTTCAGTAGTTAACTGTTGGGTCTCTGGAAGGAAGGCAGCATTAGGATGCCTATAGCTAGGAGACACAGACTGAAACAGAACAGGGGGCAAATTTGAGTTGAAGATCAAGGGAATCTCCAACACTGTGAGCCTAAGGGAGGTGGTAGAAACTCCATTGCTTGAGGCAGTTGCACCTAGATTAGACAAAGCCAGAAGATTGTACAGTAGTGAACAGCCTACTGTTGGATCGTGGGTGGATGACAAGGGGGTCAATAGGACTCTTCCACCTCTTAATTTTCAGCCAATCCAAATTGATACTGCAGAGGAGAGGAACGTTCGTTCTCCTACAGAGTCGCTGCTGCGGCTCCTGGGTTAACACTGATTTCCTGCATCGCGTGCTCTGCCAAGCGTAATGGGAGTCTCTGCAGATGTGCCAAGCCCTCGGGAACCTCTAACTACTAAGTGGTACTGAGCTCTAATTTAGCAGCACAGGGTGACTGTGTGTGAATGTCAGTGCAGCATAGAAGAGAGACAGCTAAAAAGTCTGATTAAACCATAAAGCTCCGACAGGCTAGTTGCAACGAGTGAGAGGTTGAGAGTTCAGCTCTCTACAGAGGCAAGAAACTAGCCACACACTTGGTGATATTGGGATTAAGCAAAAAATCGATGAGTTGGGAAGCATGATAGTACATGTAGGCTAACCCTTCTTTGGCATAGAAGATGCTGTCCTGTTGGTGTGACCCACGCAGCTCAGCATGTCCGTTACTGTTCTGTTAGATCCTATCAGCCGAACGATCATCTCTTGGGTGTGGGACATGAGGCAAGGAGAGGGGTTCCCACTGTTACTCAGACTGTCGGTACTCTCCTCTTTGCCAGTGGATCAGTTGGCTCTTCTATTCCAAGAGCAAGTGATGAAGAGTGCTTTAAAAAAGCTGTAAATTGATCTCTGCAGGCCCGAGTGGAGAGGATGGAGCAGTTCCAGAAGGAGAAAGAAGAGCTGGATAAAGGGTGCAGGGAATGCAAACGGAAACTAGCCGAGTGCCAAAAGAAAATGAAGGAGCTGGAGGTGGCAGACGCGGAGAGCGGGAAAGGGGAGCTGCAGAGACTTCAGGCCGAAGCGCAGCAGCTGAGAAAAGAAGAGAAGAGCTGGGAAAAGAAGATTGAGGAGCTGAGGAAGAAGGAGAAGAACATGCCCTGGAATGTGGACACCCTGAGCAAAGATGGCTTCAGCAAGGTTGGTCTGAATGGTGCCTGGTGAGGGGAAGGAGCAGGGTGGGTTTCTGGCTGAGGAAGCTGCCATGTGAACATGGCATCAGAGCTGTCGTGGTGGAACCACAGCTGGCCATGCAGCAGCGCCATGAACTAGTCTCCTCTCTCTCTGCAGAGTGTTGTCAACGTCAAACCTGAAGAGGAGGACGAATCGGAGGAACAAAAAGAGAAGAAACACAAGACGTTTGTGGAGAAGTACGAGAAGCAGATCAAACATTTTGGTGAGTTAGTTGGCTGCAAGCACAGGGCTCCCGGCCAGTCTAGGGGATGAAAGCTTCAAAAGTTCCTCTTGACTTAGAAAAGGGCTCTGGGTTAGCGAGGCTGGGTGAGACTCTCCCAGCAGGGTGAGGGAAGTGATCACAACATAGTTGGATTCCCTGCTATCTGGGTCATGTCCGCAATACCCATCTTCTCCCGTGCTGTAGACTTAGAACGGAAAGACCTGCAGTTGGAGAGACCCATGTTCAATGTGTCGGGTGAGGGGCAGCGGAGTGTTCTCCACTGGGGGTCCCTACCTGTGGAACTCCTTTCAGATCCATGTGTAAAAGGCACCAATAAGCCAGTGATTTCCTAACACATCCCACTCCTGGGGCTTGCTTTTATCCTTAACTTCACTTCAAAAGCCCTACTGCAGGACTGTACCAACCAACATCCAGCTGTAGCACGTAGGCTGTCTCCTGAACGGCTCTTCTCTTGAGTCCCACCCCCGACTTTGCTGGACCTTCTCTGCCTCCTCCTAACTCTTCACTACCTTCATAGTCCTGAATTGGAGCTCTTCTCAGGTGCCCTTCACCAGAACTCTGGAGCAGCTCGTACTAGCACATCTGTCCCCCCACAATCCTGTGCGGTAGGGAAATGTTATCCCCATTTTACAGATGTGGATCTCAAGTACAAAGGGATGAAGTGACTTAGCCAGGGTCACGTGGAGAGTCTGGCGGAGCCAAGAAATGACCCCAGATTTACTGAGTCCCAGTCTAGTGCCTCCCCACAGACCCGTCTTTTCTTATGAGACCCTCTTGGTCTGATGGGTCAGGTGAGTCAGCAGGTTAGCTCTGTTGCCACATCATTGGGTCCTGTAGTGGATTCTGCCTTCATAATCCTGCTGCTTGGATACCAGTCATAGGCCTCTAATAAATATGCTTGGCAAATTCAGCTGGGGGTTCTTCGGTTAAATTCCTACAACGTTCCTGTCCCCGTCTCTCGTTCCCCGCCCTCCCACCCCATCTAAAGACAGCGTGCCCTGCCGTCATTAGGCCTGTTGCTGTGAAATGCAGCCAGGAGGAGAAGTTAATCCAAAACTCTGTCCCGTGTTTGATCTGTCCTAGGTACTTAGGTGGCCCCTTGACCTTGGAGATGGTGAGGTGCTCAGATACCAACAGAGCCTCGCCTGTGGCAGCCTAGAGCTGCTGGCCCAGCTGCACAGATAAGGAGCTGAGGCACAAAGGCCCAGATCCTCCGGGGTGTTTATCTAAATACCTAAGACTAAGTGGCTTGGCCAAGGTCACACACACAACCTGGAGCAGAAGAGGGAATTGAACCTAGGTCTCCCAGTCACAAGCGAGTGCCCTGACCACACCACCACCTTTCCCCTCCAGCAGGCGTAATCCTGCCTCCTAAAATGCCACTGATCCTCTCTAGCCCTGTCCAGGCTCCGCTCGAAACGGTGAGCAACAGCTTGGTGGGTGGGCTCTTCTTTCTGACCGTGTGGCAAGGTGACTGTCTGCTGCTAACCGTGGCTCTCCTGCTTTGAAGGGATGCTGCGGCGCTGGGACGACAGCCAGAAGTATCTATCTGATAACCCGCATCTGGTGTGTGAAGAGACCGCCAATTACCTGGTCATCTGGTGCATTGATCTGGAAGTGGAAGAGGTGAGGCTGCTGTTTCGCCAGGAGTTGTGACTGCAGCCTGAAATGCTGAGAGCAGCCAGGGATCAATCCTGTGTGCCCTGCTGAGTTCTGGCCCATTCACGTTTGAGGTGGGCCAAGCTCTTTCCCATTAGAGTCCCTTCCCTAATGGACACTTCATGGCATAGCGAGCCCGTGCTGGGGGAACAAGACCTGGAAAGCTTGTACCCAGGTGGCTCCATGCCACTCTAGTCCATTAGTTTCCCCCGTCAGTACTGTTGTTCCAGCAGCCGTTCATCTGATCCACTAGCTGCTCGTTCTCTTCCTGAGTCAGCCTTGGTTGTCTTGTGGCCAGCTGCCCTCCTGGGAGCCAGTGTCTTTCAAAGACGGCTTCCTCCGTTTGCTTAAAGATGGCGCTGACACTTGAGAAATCCTGGCAGCTGAGTCTGGAGGGGAATGGGCCAAGAGCTCAGACTGCAGTGGACGCTTGGCCAGCCAGTGTCCTCTTTCCACTTGCACCCTGAGTAACAAGGGGCCAGGCTGCAGCGGCTGGCGTCTCGGGGTCTGTTGGAATGTGAGCACGCCCTCTGCTGGCGGTGCACCGCACAGCGCAGTCCTTAGAGCCACAGGTGCCTTTCTCTTCCACCTCCTAGAAACACGCCCTGATGGAGCAGGTCGCCCACCAGACCATCGTGATGCAATTCATCCTAGAGCTGGCCAAGAGCCTGAAGGTGGACCCCAGAGCTTGTTTCAGACAGTTCTTCACCAAAATCAAGGTGAGTTCCAAGTCCCCTTCAGCTGAGCCGTTTTCTCCCCATTTCCTCCTCTCACAGGTGGCCTGCAGTCCGGAGGAATGCGGTGGACAGTGTGGAACTCGCTGCCGCGGAGTGTTGGTTAGGTCAGGAACTTAGCAAGATTCCCAGGGGAAATGGACACACGGATTCCTGGAATATCCCAAATTCTAACAGTTCCTGCTAAGGATACAAACCTGCTTTAGGGCGTGCGACAACCTCTATTAGAAGTTAAGAAGAGACCTTCATGAGGCAAATTACCCCACGTCTACACTGTCCTCTGCAGCTTCCGATTCTGGCCACTGTCAGAGACAAACTACTGGGCTAGGTGGACCTTAGGTCTGAGCCGGTCTGGCCATTCCGATACCACGTGGTGGCATCCTTCTTCGTTCTCAGTCTGCCCTCGCTGGAGAGAGGGGGCCCAAGGCCCACTCAGCAGTGGGGTTTAAATACAGTCTGACTTTGCCCAGCTTCCCATGCCCAGTAGTGGGAGTTGTGGCTGGGGTCACTGCTGTGACTAATAGCTAAAGCCGCAGATCCTTCTCCTCTGTCGCTGGGCCATCTGAAAGACACTTGGGGAGCTGCCTCCTGAGAGCTCTGTCCCCAGAGGGCCCCGAGCTCAGAGAACACGTTGGACTGTCAGTTTTATCCCTCCTACTAGCTGGACTTTCTCGTGCCACCTGCTGCTTGTGCTCTGCCATCGCCTGCCTGTGTATTTGTGGCGCTGTGCTCACTCCCACAGCAATGGGTTGTGGGGACACTGCAGGAGGAGAGAATGTCTCTGTTACAAATGCTTCTGAGCCTTCCGTCGTCCTACAGCAGGTGGCTTTTAATGAAGGATGCACGTGGGCTAATAGCAGCACTTCCCCTCCTCCCAGCCCTGCAATTAGCCTGACTGAATGGGGGTGTGGCTACACTGGTGCGTAATCTGGGTTCAGCCCTGTTTCACGTGCCTGGCTGGAGCCTGTGCCATCTCGGCTCCTTCTTCGTTAAGTCTGGCCTCTAACTCTGCTACCCTGCTTCTCCCTGCTCGTTGCAGACGGCCGATCAGCAGTACATGGAAGGGTTTACCGACGAGCTGGAGGCCTTCAAGGAGCGGGTGAGAGGCCGTGCCAAGGTGCGCATCGAGAAAGCCATGAAAGAGTATGAAGAGGAGGAGCGGCAGAAACGGCTGGGCCCGGGCGGGCTGGATCCCGTGGAGGTGTATGAATCCCTCCCGGCTGTGAGTAGCCTGATCGCTGCGCTCTAAGCTAGAGCAGCTGGTGTCGATCTCACGTCCCGGCTCCTACTTAAAGGGGTTTCCTTCCCACTCCCTAGCCTGTCTGATGGTTTATTCCCTGCACCCCCAGGTCGGAAAGCCCTATCCCCATTTTACAGGTGGGGCACTGAGGCACAGGGAGACTGTGACTTGCCCAAGTCTGACAGAGCAGGGAAATGAACCCAGGTCTTCCAAGACCCCAGGCTAGTGCCCTGGCCACTGCACCACCCTCTAAGGGAAATGGGCAAGGTGGCATTCCTCTCCATGCCACGGGGCATGGACGGGTCACTGCGGAGTGCCTCCACTGCCTTCCTAGGCCTTGTATCCTAGCTGAGGTGTGAGCTCCTAGGCACTGTCCATTGCGTGGGGCCCTGTCCCAGACCCGCTCACCAGGCTGCCCTCTCCTCCCCCAGGAGCTGCAAAAGTGTTTCGATTCGAAAGACGTTCAGATGCTGCAGGATGCAATCAGCAAAATGGAGCCTGCTGTGAGTATCCCTTGGGTGGGGAGGATATGGGGCCTAGGTGGGGGCCTAGGGTGCCCGGCTCTTGACGCACAGGAGAAGAGCCATCAGCTTTCTGTTGCTGTGAATTGGGGTCCGTTCCCAGGCACATTAACGCATCTTCCTGTGTAGCTATTGGCTTCTTCCCAAGTCACTGATCTCCAGCCAACCCAGTGGCAATGAGCCGTTGGCTGAAGGCTGCAGTGCAGTGTCTTGCAAGGGATGGAGGTGGGTTTGGGGAGGTCTGGGAGGAAGCAGAGACCCGTGGCGCGAGTGCTGTGCTAACCTCCCTTAGCCCTCATTCGCTGTCTGCGTTCCAGGAAGCAAAGTACCACATGCAGCGCTGCATCGATTCTGGGCTCTGGGTGCCGAATGCCAAGACGGCGGAGGGAGCGGAGAAGGGAGGCGAGGAGGCGGAGGCTGTCTACGAGGAGGTCAAGAAGGAGAGCAGCGAGGAGGAGAAAGGAAACCCATGAACTACGGCTGGAAATGCGTAAAGCAGACTGTCCCCTCACCTCTCCCCCACTGCCACCATCCTACCCCCTCTCGCCTTCCTCTCTAACCCGATTATCCCTCAGGATGCCACATGCTTTACACACGTAGACACTTTGTGAATGTGTGAGCTGCTTGCTGGCTCTTTGTATCCAGCGCCAAGCCCTGGCTGCCTTTGGGGAGCAGCCGGAAGCCCCTGTGTTAGCAGTGGGGAAGTCCCAGTCAGTTACTCCAGTGAGCCGAGAGCTCAAAGGGACTTGGCATAGGGCAGTTTAGGTTCCAGGTCTCACTCTGGTGATGCCGGGCAATGTAATAGTTACACATGTGCTGTCGTATCTTTCTGTGGGTGCCCAGTAAGGCTATTACATGAATAAAGAGATTGGAGTAGCTGAGCGTGGAGGGGACTTGCTGGGGGCAGAGTGGTGTGAGCTGCTGGGCTTTGGTTGTGGCTTCTGAAGAGAGAGAAATCGACCTAAGAAGTCGTCCCTGGTGCTGGGAGTTACGTTGCAGGCCAGCCTGAATGCATTGGCCTCCCTAGTCTGCAGGAGCCCTTGGTGGCCAAAACAAACTGTATGGGCTGCCGTGGCACCTGGCAGGGCCTGCAGGCAAACGCACCAGCCCCCCTGCACCTCGGCCATCTCCCGGCCCGGAGGAGTGGGCTGTGCTGTGAATGTGCCTGAGGCGTAGGCCCAGCTGTGCTGACCGGCACTGTGGGTCAGCAGTCTCGTGCTTTCCTTACCAGCTGCCTGGCTGTCTAGCATTGTCCCATGCTAAGGTGACCGTTTCACCAGTAGGACGGGGAGTGCACAGGGCATGGCGCCTACGCCCAGTGGCAGGGGGACAGCGGACCTACACCCTACAATGATGGGGACCCACTGCTGGGTAGCTAGGAGAGCAGAGCTTGGCTGGCTTGGCCATGCTGTGCCCAGTGGCTCTGTTTTTCTGGTGCTGCTGTGAACTTCTGCAGTGCCAAGCTCTGTCTCAGTGCCTTGCGCTCAGCAGGGCTGCGGGTAACCGGCCTGCCTTGCCGCATTCAAAGGGGGAGCAGCCCTGGGAAGTGCCAGGGTAGACTGGCACAAGGCAAAACCTATCTGCATTTTAAGAGGTGAATCCCGTGCCTGGGTGGGGCAAAGCCGGGAGCTGGCGGTAGAGTATCGATGGGCTTAGGGGTGCCAGGTTGACTCTGGTCCAGCCGGGATCATGCTGTGCTGACTCCACACCAAAACTTCCTTCTGCAATTCCTTGGCCTTGGGCCAGGCCTTCCCCATGGGTGGGAAGGGCTTGGGCATTAGGCCCAGGCTCTGCTGGTTCCGCCCAGTGCGTGTTGACTGGGCTCCAAGCACAGAAAGGCTCTGCGCCAGCAAAGACCTTGGGGAAGCCGTCTGTCCCCTCCGCAGCCGGCATCAAGGGGGGTGAGACCAAAACACCCAGCGAAGGGGGTGGGGCACGAACGCGTCTGCACAAACGGGAGCGAGGAGGTGGCGCAGCTGTCTGCATTGGAGCATCGTTCCCACGCTGTGCCAGCCAGGTGTCGGGGCACGCTCAGAACATGGTCACACCAGGAAGCTTTGAACAATGGGGGGGTTAACGAGCTGGCAGGGCGGTAAATCAGCATATGCCCGCGAGTGGCCCTTGCTGTGTCCTGGCGGGAGAGCTGCGGGGGCTTTTTTTGCTGGTAGGCTAATGGCCCAAGGAGGCAGGCTGCAGATGAGATGGGGACCCTGGCTCACTAGCTTCATTTCCTGCATTTTCAGAAGCTGCCAGGAAGGGAAACAACTCGACTGACCGAATAAAGGCATTTATTATCCGACTCCCTAGCTTCGGCTGGGACTCCATGTACTACAAAACACAGTAGCTGTTGTGTACCCAGAGCTAGTGCGGTGCGGGTGCGGGGAGGAAGGTTGAGGGGGAAATATATGTATCAGGGATTTGGGGGAACACAAATAGAAATGTCTGAGCGAAATTCTGGACAAGGGAAGTGTCCCCTGGCTTGTGTGTGGTAGGTAGGTAGGTAGGTACCAGCAATACCTGTGGGGACAGATCCCCTGAACAAGTCTGTTCCCTTCTCCGTGCTTCCATTTCCCCATGTAAAATGGAGATAAAATGTTCTCTCCCCCGCCTTAACTTCCTGGCCTGAAGGCCCCATGGAAAGTGTGACTGGTGACAGGGTGAGATTGGAAAACATGCAGTGCTACAAATCAACACCTCACGAGCCAGCTGGCAAGATGTGTGCCCGAAGGCCTAAAACCTGCATTTAAATTCTCCGGCCCTTCTTGGAGCCAGAGGGGGTCTGCTTGGTGATAGCATGAGCCTTGGCATGAAGAGTGACAGGCCAGCGAGGTCTGGGAGACACGATCCAAATCCGCCTTCACCCAGCACTCCTGGGGGGTTCTGGCTGGAGGATCCGGCAGTGGTGAGTGAGCAGAACAGCGGCCCAGCCAGTGTGACCTTCGTTCTGCGTCACGTTGTGAGATGATGATTCTCTACAGCAGGCTCCATTGTTATCTAGTGAGCTCCTAGCCAGCTGCGGAGACAGAAGCAGCTTCAGACTCTTCAGTTTTCACCACTGCTTCGCTCTTCTCACAAGTGCCTCCCCTTTCAGCCTTTCCCTTGATTCTATTCTTCATGTTTTTATAACCTCTCCTACACCACTGGCTTCCACCCCTCCCGGCCCCTGGGCCTCTTTCTAGATGTGAAAGTGACGGCAGCTCCTTGCCAGCAGGGTGGGCGGAGGTGTGGGTGGCTGTGAAAGTCCTTTGCACTGTTGGGAATGATTCATGGCCCAATTCCAAACTCCAGAGAAGTTGGTCTCTGGGAGATGGGGGAAGAATCCGGGAGCTGGCAGGAATGTGAAAACTCCCAGAGGCTATTTTAGAGCCCAAGGCCATTCTGTCACTTGCTAGCGCTAGTGCGTAGCTACACGTCCGCTCCTCTAATCCAGCCTTTGGCACGACTCTAGCCCCCGTCTTTTGTATTGGGAACCTGGTTTTTAAGAGCATGAATGAATGTATAAACCTGAATCAGTGGGCTTGGGCCTTTACAATATACCTGCCTAGCTTATTGTTCCTTATTTCTATGATTGTAGTATCTAGGAGCCCTCCCCCTCCATGGAGCAGGACCCTACTGTACAAACACAGAACCGAAGGGGGAGCCCTTCCCCCAAAAGTGGACACTGTCAGCATAAGACGAGCCGCCAGGTGACAACAGCGAGGGGTGTAGAAGGAAACACAGCTTTGGTCAGCATGACATGCAGTGCTCTCAACACCCCAGATTCATTTATTGTTTTGGCCTCATGCCTACAACCAAAAGCGAACTCTTAGGAGGGTGGTGAGGGAGGCCAATGACCTACTTTGGGGTTGTTCGTAGAGATCCCATCCTGCACAGGAGTGGTGTGGAAGAAAGCACAAAGGAATTGATTTGCTGCTTGTTCCAGCCCGTCAGTGAACCGTCCCTCGGGCCAGGATGGGAATGTGGGTTGGTGAGGTCAAAGTTGGTTGCCATCACTTAAATTATGTACCTCATCAGTGCATAATAACCCTGTATTCAATTGCTACGCCGTGGAGGCAGGGGAGAAAAGGAAGAACATGGCTGTCTTAGCCAAACTGCAATACAGGTCGTTCTAACATCCTGCCTCTGCTGAGAAGTGCGCTGGCCTTTCTGATGAACCGTGAGCAGTTGCTGTCGGACCGTCCAGGTGGAGCTGTTGACAGCCAAGCTCTGAGGAAGGAGTAGCTGCTAATAGATCATTTCCTTCAGCTGAAGCGTGGTGGGCGTTCTGAGGGCTATGAAATTTACACTTCTCTTGCTTGGACTGAACTTTCCTGCTACTGTGATGCTGCCGTATAATAGCTGGATTCACATCCAAGCAGAGCTTCATTGTGGGCAAATTAATAAAATCCACCACATCTTAATGACGGAGCTAGAATCCAAGGCATGACCCTCTCCCTGGGGCTGCTGTAGAATCTCCACTCCTCTACCTGTAGGCTAAGAGCAGGGCTCACTAGAACCATCTGCCGTTTTAGTTTACCTAACATTTCATAGATTCTAGGACTGGAAGGGACCTCGAGAGGTCATCGAGTCCAGTCCCCTGCCCTCATGGCAGGACCAAATACTGTCTAGACCATCCCTGATAGACATTTATCTAACCTACTCTTAAGTATCTCCAGAGATGGAGATTCCACAACCTCCCTATTTCTTTTCCCAGTGATTCACCATAAGCGGAGCGCCCATCTACAGCGCATGAAACCCTGACCCTAGAAGTAGTCGCTGCACCTTAACAGCGGCTCGCTGGTCGCACCGACTCCCTAAGTCAGAACAAAGTGTCTTCTCTCGTTCGGTGGGTGGGCTCAAGTGATGGTTTGCACTGCTACAGTCTCTCTCTATTGTCAATATGGCAATGGACTGGGCAGGCTGGGATTCAGCTCCTCTCATTTCGCCGAGAAACTGCAGAACTGGAATTAATTTGCAAACTGGACACCATCAAATTAGGCCTGAATAAAGACTGGGAATGGATGGGTCATTACAAGAGTAATTTTCCCTCTGCTGATACTCACACCTTGTTGTCAACTGTTGGAAATGGGCCACCTTGATTGCATTGGCCTCGTTAGCACCACAAACGTAACTTTCCCTCCCTCGGTAGTCACCCCTTCTTGTCAGTTGTTGAGAATAGGCCACTTCCATCTTCATCGAACTGGCTCGTTAGCACTGACCCCCCACTCGGTGAGGCAACTCCCATCTTTCCATGTGCTGTGTATTTATACCTGCCTCTGTATTTTCCACTCCATGCAGCCGAAGAAGTGGGCTGTAGCCCACGAAAGCTGATGCCCAAATAAATGTGTTAGTCTCTAAGGTGCCACAAGGACTCCTCGTTGTTTTATCTAATGTCTCTGTGCCTCAGTTTCCCACTCTGTAAAAGGGGGACACGAGACTGCCCCTGGGATGGGAATGCTGAAGTGTAATGTTTGTAAAGTGCTTTGAGAGCCTTTCATGAGGGATTTTGCATAATTCATCTTGTATCATTTTTGTTGAAAACTATGTGTGACATAAGCTCTTGGGCATTTACACTGCCAACCCCTGCTTGGGTATTGCAATGCACCCCGGCGGGAGCACTGAACCGCACCCCCCGTGCCCAGCGCCCCAGGGGACTCCCCACCGACCCGGCCGGGCGCAAGGCAGGAGCAGACCGAGCTCGGGCTCAGGGCCCCGGGCAGCTGGGGGGGGGCGGCCCCCCCTGTTCATTAGTGTCTTGTGCGGGGGGAGCCGCAACCCTCCTCCCCCAATGG